GAGGTGGGGGGTAGGGAGGTGCGGGTAGGGATGTGCGGGTAGGGATGTGCGGGTAGGGAGGTGGGCGGGGGTAGGGAGGTGGGGGTAGGGAGGTGGGCGTAGGGAGGTGGGGGTAGGGGAGCGGAACCAACCAAGGAGGTGGGAATAGGGAGGTGACGGTGAGGGTAGGGAGGTCAGGGTAAGGAGGTGGAAGTAAGGAGGTGGAAGTAAGGAGGTGGAAGTAAGGAGGTGGAAGTAAGGAGGTGAGGGCAGGGAAGTGAGAGCAGAGAGGTCGTAGCAGGGAGTTGGGGGCAAGGAAATGGAGGCAGAGGAGTGGAGGCAAGGAAGGCGAAGGCAAGCAAAGGCATGAGGGCAGTGAGGTGGAACAAAAGGGGCGACAGCCACAGCAAACGTGAGGGGCTAGAGCATGGGAAAGAAAGCGAAGAGCCTTAGGAGAGTCTAGCAATTTGGTATGTATATTGTAAGAGAAAACCCGGGGCGCGTGTTGCTTGTGTGGTCTCGTCGAAAATCGAACGAGAATTATAAACACCTGGACGCAGCGAACCCAACGAGTACAACATGCAGGGGTGACAACGAACGGTGGTTCAAACCTCTAATTATCACGAGATGTAGGAACAAGATAGCTAGCCAACAAGCCTCCGTGGTCCCTTCTCTTAATACAACATATTCTACGCTAAAAATTAAGTTGGAAATCAGCCTACAGCCATGCGCAACATCCTCGGTTACAGGAAAAGAAAGAAGTAGTCGACATAATTTTCACCATCCTTGGCAGGCTCGCGCATTCCCCCACCGTCCATGTTTCACCAGCGGCGAATGCCGCACTCGACAGCGCGTTCCCCGAAGAGGCACCGAGAACCTGGTCACAACTATCCGCGGTGATCTCCAGTCTGTCCATGGTGCCACTGATGTCGTAGAGGATTTTGGCCCTTGGCGGCTCCTTCTGAGCTTGATTGCCGACCGCAATAAGGGACGCGGCCTCCTGGCCCTCCTCCTTTTTCTGTACTCGTGCTTCCTGCTTTTCTTCCACAGTCTTTATCGTGCTATCGCTACTACGTCCCGTAAGAGCATTGTCCACATTGGTCGGAATAGTCTGGGGCTTTTCAGCACTCGTCAAAGACTTCATCCCACTCAGCAACAAAGACAAAGCGTCCTGTATTTGGGATTGAAATTATTCAAACCAGTGATGAGTGTCTTTTTCGTTTTCCAAGTTGAAGGATGGCTTTAAGATTTGACAAGATACCAAAAACGAGGAGAAATTCACTGTGGATACTTCGGTAGGATCGGCTCTTGTTCAAGTAGGATCCGATATCAACTGGACACATGTAGTCATCTACCGCCATTGTCTGCCCGTTCTGTGGTGTTTGCGTAGTCGTAGATTTCGGCGGCGGCGCCCCAGTGCATCCACTGAATTCCGCGAGCTCGACGCCGTAAAGCGGCAGACCTAGCAACTCGATACTCGCACAGCACTCTCCCATTATTTTGTTTCCATCACGCCAAGCAAGTGAGCATTGAGAAATCACGGCGTTGGGCGACTTCGTTCTCTGATAAAACGGCGGCACCGTCGTGCTATTGGTGATGTTAACATCTGCAGCGATAACCATGGGTGCAGATGAATTCTTAGAGCAACTCTTCCTGTTTGTTCCATATTTTCTTAAACCTGTACTGTCTTTGCTCCATCTAGGTATTAAAGCCTTCTTTGCTTTCAGAACGTTCACGAGAAAGATGTAGAAGGTGGAACGAGGATCAGTGGCACTTAAAATTTTCAAAGAAATAGCATGAAAGGCAAAATTCATAATGGTCGAGACCAAGTCACTCGGAGACACTGTCGATGTGCTGCTCCCCAAGTACGGGCCCAGCGAAGTGGAGCGATCGCCCTTGTTTCCACCAAGCACCCTCTGCATCGCAGGTGCTATCTTGCTCTTCACACTCAGGAAAGACGCCTCCTCGTTCCCGAGAATGCCTGGACCTCCGCCAAGCTTCACGCACACCGATGTGCCCGAGATGCACATCTGATCGCACCGCAAAAAAGCTGGCGCATTCAGAGGAAAATGCTGTTCAGTAATTATGCCCGGCGGACGCGGTTGTCTGGTGTAGGCAGCGCGCAACGTGCGAAGCTGCGCCAGCAGCTGCGGCGTGAACACCGAAGGGTGTCGTTCCGCTAGCCCTTGCAACGTCGATTCCTGTAGCAACTCCGGCATTAGATTGTCCAACACGTCCAACACTGCGGGATCACCCGACGCCAACAGCATCGAAAGCACGGAAGCCATGCCTGCCTCATTCACGGCGGGAGCAGCAGCAACACAGAATTAGAATTGATAATTTCTAAAATAAGCCCCCCATAATTACTAATCACTTTTGTAGGTCAATGATGTATTCCACAAATTTTCAACAAATTTTTTCTGCACAAGAAGAACAATTGTACATCAAGCAAAATGGCTTGTGCAGCACTCCAGAGACTTTTGCGAATGATATTATTCATAAGGCTGCGCCGGTAGCGATTGGTGGTTCGCTGCGTCCCCAGAAAAGAGAGCTACCTTGTTCCCATCGTCGCCTTGTTCCTCCTCAGTGGCAGCGGAGGGCGACGCCAATGCCTTCGGCGCTGGCTCTTGGGAAGGCGCTGGGGCAGGTGCCCCAGACAGAGAATGCAACGTGTTACCGAACAGATCGGAGAAAAAACCACGTTCGCGATCACGGCTGCTGTGTCCAAAGTAGTTGTATTTCGTAGCGGACGCTAATTGCAGGAGACCCGTGGCGTTTTTCGGTGCCTCAGTGCGAGCACAATAACCCGGTTGACGGTTACCAAGAACTGCACCAGGACGAGATTTCCAGTCCCATCCCAATCCAACACACCCGCGGAGTGTGGTGAGTACCGGGCTCCCCTCCAGCTCGGTCTTCAGTCCACTTTCGCCCCGACGAATATTCAACACCGCGCGCTCGCAGGTTGCCATTATGGTGTCCGGTGCCGCAAATACGACTTCCGGTGAGGTTGGGAGACAATTCTCCAAAAATAACTGCGGTGATGAGTATCAAATTGATGTGCCGGTAATACCTCAACAGGTAAGCTTCGCATCGATGTGCCGGCCATACTTCAACAGGTAAACTTCAAGTAATGGATTACTTTCTTATGGTAATGTACTCAGTTCCTTCCTCTATCTCAAAGGACAAAAACAGAGAAAACGAGAGAGGCCCACACTACGCCAATCCGTTTGAGTTGTTTGCTGGCTATCTGTTGGGAGTTGAGCCATAAGAAAAGCCAAAGCCTTGGAGTGATTTAGTTGAGTAACTAAGTGTTTAAAAGAAGAACGAACTTAAGTAGCAACGCACTGAAAACACACACAAGACAAAAACACTGCGGCGCTTTCCTTTTCAACAGCCTTTTTATACATTTGAATAAACACCACCCAACCCAAGGCGCTTAGCGTGTTCATTCACTGGAGAAGGAAGAGCCCAATATACTGAAACTGTCAGAAAAGAATTAATTATTCAAGTGACTAGAAGCGTCAGTTTGAAAGTCATCTTTTGTTTGATAAAGAAAACCGAACAACAGGGCCATGTGAAGCTCTGAAGGTGAGAAAAGGAAGTACCTGGCCTGTCACTCCAGTTTGGTTCCTTTCTGTCCCATTTCCGTCCGGCGGACTGCTACTTTGCTGCGGCTGTTGTTTTTGTAAACCGATTACGATATCGTCCACACGAAAGCGTTCCTGTCCGTCCTGCTCCATGGTCACTAACTCACAGCCCCTTGATGAGCCATGCAGTATGCCCTCTCCGTTCTGCAGCCAGGATATTGTAAGCGCCTGCTCGCGTAGACCTGGGTGAGGGTGCGGGCAACAGAAAGAAATCATCGTCTGACTATCAAAGACGCTTAGCACTTCTAGCTAAACGATGAACCAACCCCGAAAAAACACCGTCCAGCTTCTAAGACCATGAAACACGCGGACAGGCAATTTTGTATGTCAATACCACCTGACCCAAATGCACGCGCTCCGTTGACAGGTGCTGGAGGCGATGTCGTACTAGATGAAGAAAAGTTCCCTGGCTGTTGCTGCGTTCCTAGAAGGTATGATGAGAGATCGGCAGCGGCACTTCGCGCACCGTGATGTGACGCAAAGGGGTTCATCATGGCAGTGCTGCCGTGCTCGTTCGGCTTTGGATGTGCCTCATGCTCATGGTCTTGTTCCTGTCTATTTCTGCGATTTACTGAAATCGCTTTACTCTTCACCCCGTTCTTATTTCTGCGTACTCGTCTCGCTTTTTTCTTTTCATTGACGAGGCTCTGAGCGCCGGGCACTTGCGGATCGCTCTCATCAGCCGCATTCTCGTCCGCGTCGTTAGTCGACGCCTTTTGGTCTGGTGCCTTCTGGTCTTGCGCTTTTCGCTCTTCCGCATTTGATTCTTGCGCTGCCTTTTGGTCTGGCACAGCACCAGAAGCGTGGGCACCGTGCACAGTGGCGCCAAGCAGGGCACTAAGAAGATTTCCGAGTGCAACCGTCTTATCCGCGGAGCCAGAAGCCGGTGCGAGAAGCTGAGACGGAAGCCAGTCAGCCTTTTTTCCATCGTGTTTGGCGTCTCCATCTTGCGATCCCTGTTGCGGCGAAGGTTCTACTACGGCAGAGCGGCCGCGTCGTGCCTCACTTGAAGGAGATGCAAGCGGGTGCGCATCATCATCCAAATCTGACTCATCTACAGCCGCTTTAAGAGTGTCCAAGCGCGCGGAAGCTGGGTTTCCAGCAACATGCTGCACTGCTGACGCCCCTTTGGGAACTTCTGGTGCGCCCGACGCACCAAGCAGCTTCAGCAAACGTGCGCCGGCACCCTGTTCATGAGCCTGAGTTTCCGTCGAAGCCGAAAGCGTCCCAGTACTGTGCTCCTGCGAAGCGTAGGCCACCGTGCGCGGTCCGTCCTGTTTTGTCAAGGAGTCGTCTTGTACTGCGTCACTGGTCGGCACGAGAACTGCATGCTGTTCACCTGCACCTGATTGTTGCCTTTCCAACTGCCCTGCATGCTCATTCTCCTGAATGGCGTCCTGCTGAACTGCGGGCGGCTGAGCTACAGGCTGCTGAACTAGCGTTTGCTTACCCTCTTGTTCCGATGACGAAGAGGAAGATGTGTGTGCTCTCCTGTGACGCGGAAGCGCATTTTAGACTCGGTGAGGCGAAAACTTTTACGTCCAAGAACAAAGTTTCAACAAGTGCAGATGATACAAAGGATCATGTCGAAACACCACTCGACTTAGCATATGTTTATACTAAAACGAATCTCACGCTCAGGAGACGCATCCTAAGTAGAGATTTTTCTCTACAGCTCCGGAATTGCAATGCAATACATGATGACAGAATTATATTTTCTGCACGATCAAATCACAGTGGTCATAAACTTTCCAATGATCTGCTAAAAGCGCTACTTTGTGCCGCAAATCTGCAATACGTTCGGCCGCTGGTGCAACCGTCACAGCACTGCTCCCCAGCGCAAGCGACGCGCCAACAAACGCGCGACACGGTGGCATCTACGCGCTCCTTCGACTCATCAACTTACTAACAGAATCACACAATCATTCATTTCGGCACTTAGACCACATCAGTGAGCAGATATTGCTAAGTGGGCCTCCAAATTGAAACTTTAAAGGATGAAACATTGAAACCCATACTGGTTTTCTGAGTGTCGGCGAACAGATTTGTTCGACGTTAGACATTCCACGTCAAGAAAACACCAGAGTCGTGTCCGACAACATACTGCCTGGATACAAACCAGCACTACTATGATTTTTGGGTAGATCCGTCTACTTTTATTCATGCGGCGTCTAAAGAAAATGCTCGATTTGCATGCAAGCGGAGGCGCGTCGCCGTACCAGTGAATGTGCAGGCACATAATCGTGATCATTCACTCATGATCATCCACGGTCACCAGCTTCTCTCTCAAGTTCTTCCGTCACAGACAGTGGAGTGTATTTCTTGCTTTCATCTCACGAGGTGCAACACTCTAGTACTCTGATATCACTGTGAACTTCTCTCCGCTTCTCTAATGCTTATCTCGCTCTCTTTGCATGGTCAAACTGAAAGGCTAAGTGTCGCGTCCGTCGATAGACATAAGATGGCTGTGCCCCAGACAGATCCATTTCGGCTCCCTATCGTCGAGTCAGCTAACAACGTCCGCTGATGCGCCCAAGCCAGAGCAAAAATAGTGCGTTGTTTTCACTTGATACTCTTCTTCACTCGCATTTCATTACTAAAACCGGCGCCAGCAGTAGTTTCAGTCTTCATCGAGATCTCTGAATAATGTTACAATGACTCGCAGCAAATGACATCATCAGACCAGAACTTATATGGTCAGGATCATCAGAGAGCAGGAGCACCAGAAAATGGTGTAAATGAAATTTGTAATGTTGATAAGCTTTTAATATGTCTCCATGATGAATGATGTACTCACAATGCGCCTCTAAAAGACCGAGCACAAATGTTCTACGATAAGAAGATGCCACTATCGTAGCTTGGCAGCTCATTACTTCCCACTGGAGCGTTATTGCCTCCGAGAAGAGCCAGAAAAGCGTCGCGGTCAACCGCATCTGCACAGGAGAGGAGAGCATAGGAGTAGGACAAGCTAAGGCGCGGTGCACTCATAAAATCAGTGCATAGCACCACAATTTTGCAAAGAGTCATGCTCGCCTCAACTACAAGCGTACGATCTTGAGGTTATTCTCGAGTAGTATACTTTAGTGCGTAGACCCGCACGCGAAGGAGAGTCAATACGCATGCTACAGGAGACCTTCCAAAGCAGATGAAGTGCCTATTTTGTTGCATAGAAAATTTGTGCTTGGTATTACCTGATGTTTCTAAGAGTTGCTCCGGCTTCGCGCCCGCCTTGCTGTCACCTCCTCCGTGACAGCCTTCCTTGAATTCTTCACTACACACCGGTGAGCCACTTCCATCCGGCTCCTCAACGTCCACTGTAGCGCCAGTGCTGCTGACACCAGGCGCGCTTCTCTTTCGATGCGGCGGAGAGCCCGCGAGAGTCGACGACGGACTAAATGTTAGAACCTTCTAACTTCCTAACTCACCTAACGACTGAATCACTCACAACTACTTCCTCAGCGAAAAAGCAACTCCCGCCTCCAACTATCTCCTTGATTTTGAAACTGGATACCGTCTATACGAATGTAGATCAAAACTAGGAATAGCCTTAACGATGCACACGTTGTCTGGGGACTCGGCCACTGATTGACGCCAGGCTCTGCGGCGTTAGCGTAGCGCGAATAGACCTCAGCAACTGCTTTTCCTTGCGAATTGGTGTCCTCAATTTTCTTTCGCGTTCTCTGCATTAGCCTCTTGACTGCAGCTTCTGACCAGGGCTCCTCATCCTCGCTAAAGAGGTCGAGCCCTGACGTGCCCTCATCATCTGAACCCGCCGATAATGCAAGAAAGCCGCCAGTCGGCTTTTTGGAATGAACTGGTGCGTTTGAGGATTGCAGTGGTCTACTATGAGAGCGAGGACTCCGCACGCCGTCCCTCTCTTGCTCGTGCTCCTGCGAGGACGCCTCGTCGGAGGAATCGCAGCGGTACACTGCTTCAACGGTGGTCCTGTGCGGAGGGTTCATGTCCGCTGCATTTTCCTTAAAGTTTTACCACGCACAATCGTTTTCTCATCATTATGGTCGCTTCTCTAGTACGGAGTTGACCTGAACCACCGGCGACACCAAACAGGCGGCTGTATCTATAAGATCTCGAATATTTTGACTGCACGCGAGTTAATGCTTTCTACACTTTTCGTAAGTTTTTCTAACAAGTCAGACACCACTTTTGAGTTGAGCTACGGATAAGCCGAAGCATAACTTGCGACGTCCGCGGGGGCTCCCCATCTCCGTCTTCGGAGGAACTGCCTGCCATCTCGACATCACCCTGCCCTCCGTCCGAATGCCTGTTGTCTACAGCTTTATGAATGTCCAGCACAACTTCTGGCCAGACGAACTCTTCGGTTTCCAACCCGACCTCCTCCTCCATTTTCAAGAATGGATCGCGAAGAGTTATCCTCTAGTGAATGGGAAGTACTAGGATTATGTGAACAACACCGTGAAACTTTGATGAAGCAAAGCGAAAGTCTCAACTTCATTGCTTTCCCGTGCCAATTTCGAACGCGTACGGCACTTTCGTATATTCAAGACCGGGGAGAACTAACTTTTCTTTGTCCTCTGGACACTGGAACTGGAACTACCCATGGGTCTTTCAGTGATACGATCTTCCTCTAATATTGCAACATTCTCTGCTACACCACTGGCCACTGTTCTTCATGCTGCTAAGAGCACATGTGCACTCGTGAAGACTGTCTGTGACCGAAAATCTTGCAGACTGTTTGCAGAAAGCGAGAGAAAATGCTTTCGCATGACACCCACGGCACCACGCATGTGCTGTCACGAGAACAGCAAGCATATGCAGGCGGCCCTCACGCTGGACACGTCAAAGACGCCATCTCATCCTGCACAAATGGATCATTATCTGTATGGGGTTCTGTAAACATGTGGTTACTGGACTCACAACCACCAAAAGCAAGAGCAAGAGAGACATCAGAGCGAGATGAAGTCGTTGCGGGAATGCGGTGCTTTTTCTTCTAGTCAACAGAATTGCTTCCTCTTCTCTACATTTTTGTCGACGGGACGCGCATCAGTGGATAATAATTATCATGGTGCAAAGTATTCATTTGCTTGCGTGAGGCGCCTTCACGATCCGCAGAAGAGCATATAGGGTTCTCTGTGATTTCTTTGTCATACATTCCTTCCAAGACGGGCATTTAGATTCCTTCGAAACCACTCAGAAATGACACAGCAAATCGTCTAGTTTATTCGACCACTCATTGATGTGGAAGATTGTACTTCTGTTAGTTTTTCTAAATTGTTACATTATTGAAGTGTACCATCCGATAGAAACTTTTCATGAATACAATTAATATCATCTTCACAACAGAGAAATAATTACCAAGGCAAATGATAAAACATGGACCAATCTCGAAAAATAATAAAGTATGGATGCGATGTCCTAGCTTCAGGTCGACCGCTGAATTACGGATGGACCTGTCATGGTTTCACAGATGTTACCGACCGATATGCCGTGTTTCCGAAGTGTCGTTCCGCATGAGCAGCTCTCCCACAGTGCTACTTCTGATGTTTTCTCATGCTCATGCTACGACGGACGCACCGACTGCAGGAACTACCAGACGATCAGCAAAAATGTTGTAGTCCTGCATAGGCTTCCAACTAAAATGGAAATAGGCCACCAATGCGCCCAAAAACAGCTCGTTCACGTCTCTGAAGGACGCCGTTTCTCCGAATACGCAAAGGAGACGATATCGACTCGCTCCTCCTCGAGTACGCTGTCTCACAGTTTTTCCTCCTTACACCGTCACACATCAGTTCCACCACCTTCGACAACAGTGAAGGCATCCTATCACAACGAACTAGCCAAGAGTAGGTGAGTTGTCACTACTAGAGCCCTCCGAAAATGGTGTAGAATGACGTGCGAATCCGCCTCTTCCTGACATCTTACTTCTTGTCTCCATCCTTGATATTCTCATCAAACAAGTAGGTGAGGCCAGTTTTTCCACAGTGGTAGCGGTTGTGATGCATCGCCATGAAATAACCGGGTCCGGCCAAAGGGCTCTCCTTGCGCAAGCGCGTCACTTTGTTGTCCTTGTCAACCTGGTTGAATGAATAATGTGGAAAAGTAATCGAGGCGATATTTCTAAACTAACTAAGTCTACCAAGAACTACATCAGCATGGGTGATGCTGGCACGCTAAACCCTAAACCACGTAGCAACTCCCTCGAAGCTGCGTGGTTCCGTAGCGACCCGAGTAGAGACGCGGCAGCTAAATAAGACCGACTGCTTCGGGCGTGAGTAACGCCTATGGCAGTCTAAATATGTCCGGCTTATCTCTCGAGGGCACGACAGGAGAAAATAAAGCCTCGATATACAAAAGATGTTGCGGCTCGACAGTCGTATTTGTCCAGCACCACTTTGTGTGAAACACCTTGGCTTAGAAGGCCCCATCTTTAGAGCGCGATGCAAGTCTACAATGGAATTGAGTGTCAGAAGCCACAGAGTTACCTTGTAGTATTTGAGGACTGCGAGCTTGACCTTCTTGTGCTTGTGCTTGATCTTCTTCGGCTTGGTGTACTGCTTCTTCTTTCGTTTCTTTCCGGCACCCAGCAAATCCACATTCACATCCACGGTGCACTCTTCTTGCAGCACGCTTCCGATAACCGCATCAAGAGCGACATTCTTACCTAGGAGTCTTTAGTGAATAGTAGCACATAGTGTTGAGAGTGGCAGAAATTTCATCGCGACAGAATGGTGTCCATCGGAAAAGGGGGATACAGAACTCGGGAGTCTTCTGCACACCAAGCACTACTCGAGAATTGAGCGCGTTGAATGAGATGTCCAAAAATCTCCACTAAATAAAGCGCTAGAGCGCACCAGAAAACACCTCGCTGTGATAAAATGCCTAGCCAAAGCCCGCAACTATATCGAGTGCTGTAGATATTCTCAGTACCTGCGTACGAGACGTGGAAATTCTGTTTGATGTCCAAGGTGGACATCATCTCGCTAACCGTGGCATTCTCGTTGACGCAGCGGACCTCGGAGGATCCGTCGACACCTCGGATGAAAATCTGCATCCTTACGGAATTCAGATGAAAGGGAAATGCTTTGAAGAAGGGAAAAACCGATGTTAGAGCTTTAAATGCGAGACAAAATCACTGTATGATAATCTCTCAAACGTCCCTGTTTTTGAAATGGGCAGTATTATGCCTTCTTTTTAACTCAGTACTTGTGGCGGCGACAAGCGACGCTACGACCACGACACCTTAGTTCGGTCAAAAATTCAAGAAATTTCCTCACGAAGACCCAGAAGCATGAAATCACAAACCTCAAAAATCTAAGGATCTTGCACAGCTGTATTAACAGCAGCGGATGTGGTGTGCCTGTGCTTCGTTTCCTGTGGTGAAACTATTCATGAAGATTTTCGTTGGCACCGTAGAGTGAGGACAACATCAGGTCGATCCAGGATGTTGAACCTGCTTTCGTCATGAAACCCCGTCGTACCCTGCGAACTGACAAAGCAACATGTGTAATAGCCGCACACGCACACGTTGGCGCCCCCCCCACAAAGGAAGCCGAAACACCTGTGTAACGTGTTCTTTGTAGGATCGAGACAATACTACTTCATGGCCCGCCTAGGCAACATTGAATTACTTTCCCAGAATATTTTTTCCGCATGCATCAGACACTGACGATCGTCAAACAAAAACATGACCCGACGAATCTTGGAAACACAGCATTTTTTACCGTTTTCCTCGAGTGTTTCATTCACCTATGCTTGTCCTTGCAGAGAGTCCTCAAACAACCTGTCAAGCGCGCCCAAATCTACGCAACCTTTTCGCGAGGATTGTTTATACATCACTCTCACATTGGACAGACAACTGATCCACTAAGCTACGAACGGCTGCTGCGAGAGTTTTGACGATCAGCACCCCCGTTCGCCTTGCGCAGTACTTTGGGATTCCACGTGCTACGCACTTCGCACTTGTCATTTGTCCGGCCTTCCTGTTTGCTCAGACATGCGCGTCTCCTTCGAGACTCATCAATTTCGAATAAGCACTGCGCTCAGGTGAAAGCTTGATTATCCGAACATCGCGTTAGGGCGCCTGCTGCACTTAAACAGACTGGTGATCGCACGCAACGAGAGAGTGCGCATTCTTGGCAACCTCATTCCTCCAGGTTTTCCTGTTCACAATCTCTTCAACCCACTGGTCCGTCATCGTGGCCCACCCGACGGTGCAAATGCTCCCTCCCTGCGAAGGAAGATGCTGTCGAGCGGGGTCACAGATTCCACGGTCAGCAAGAAGAGCTTTTCCGGCGCGGATTTCCCGTACGCTTCATCTTGTAATCGTCAAACACCGACTGCTCTTCGCTGCCGCAATGTCCTCGGTGCCTTGAACAAACGCGTCTGCTCAACATACAACTGCCACGAAAGCCGCAGCATACGAATGCCGCGCTTCCTTGTTTTCTAGCTGCGACCGCATAAAGAGCGCGGAGCCATCAAGACCTTTTTTGAACTACATGAGCTTCCTCTGCTTCAGTGCATTTTCGGACTCAAAACAGCTGTCGTTTTGCATCTGTACTCAATAGAGATCCTAAATCAAAGGAGGGCCATATGGCAGCCACCCGAGTCGTCCAGTCTCGCTTTCCTCCTCCCCGCGCCACACGCATGCGTCGGCGACCACAACAGGACGCCCCGGGTCGAACTTCTTTGGTGTTACCACCACCAATGAGCGGCTCAGATCGACACATGTGTTGCAGAGATTGGGTGTGACCTCGGTGTCCAAATGATCTGGAACGAAAAACTGCTCCGCAAGCACAACCCTGGCTCAGCCGATGCCTTAACGACACGATCGGACCTCAACCATGATGCTCTGCTCCGACCACAACACCGAGTGCGACATTGACTCGAGAGCACTCTTAATTGCGCAACGTTCGCTCGCTGATCCAGGTCCCATTTCGTTGGATACTCTGAATGTGTAAATACTTTGAGGTTTATCGAGGCCCGAAGCTTTACGCCTAGAGCTTCGCTGATGCTCAGACAAAGCCTCAAACTGGAAGCCACAGGCCTCCGCTCAAGCTGCAAACTAAAAGCTTCAAACTCGCCCCAGGGAGTGAAGCCCCCACCCCAAAGGGCTTAAGCGTAAGGTTTTGAACTCAGGCCAAGACTTCCAACCAAAGAGCTTGCACGATATTCAAAAGCGTGTGGCGCTAACGCGCCGCCTTCCACAAAGCTAGCCGAAACCAGCAAACCTGCGATCGGCCTTCGCGTACAACGCGTGGCCGCTTCATTACGGCGGGAGCGACGTCCGCGTTGCCGCGTGTGCGGTCTGTACCCGAGCCCAGGTTGCATCTGGATGTATTATCACGCGAATCGAATAAAGTTCTACTACTGGTACTAAAAGGGTGAAGCAGCAGACGTAGGCAAATTATCGTGGCGAAGAGTCTGACTCACCGTTACTAGACGATTGCCTTCACATTCAATAGACTGCTGTTCTTAGAATATACAGGAGCTGACAAAGCGCATCGATGCAAATCGCCTCCACTTTGCTTTCTCGCATTCGTCAGCGCGTCTACTACGGACATGGTTCTTTCACCAAATGAACATTCACGTGTATACTCTGTGCAACCTGTCAGCCGAGAATACGCATTTCTAATGAACCATGTGTGGAATCTGAATGCGCCCGTCTGTTGACGAGTGATGCTACCAAAAAGCCCAGGACGGATTTTGAAGTGCGAAGAAATTCCCAGCGTAGAGTAGAGTTTTGAGGACTATCCTGTTGGGAAGAGACTATTCTAACTTTTGGTTCAGCATGGGCATCAGAACTACTTCTACGCCTCCTCAACGAACCACTCTTGTTACATCTCCGCTGCTTCTGGATGTGCACTCACAAATGATATCATTGAGTGGCACTATCGTCATTTGCGACCCTGCATTTCTATGAAGCCCCTGTCGACTTCGACAAAAAGTCGCTCATTATAAGTTACGGTAGACTACACGTCGCTTCATTATCAAAATCGGCATACGCTTAGGGGGTGCTGGTTTTTCGATGTGGTTTGGTTGGTGGTTGTTGGCTGTTTAGGGCCATCGGACAGATTTTCTGGGCACATAATCTTATCTAGTGGCGAGATGAGCTCAACAAATCATCAACCTTTACCGACAGCCTTTTTCAGTTTCATCATCGATTGCATTGCTGAGTTGACCGAAGCAACTGAGGGCAGCAACGCCTGACAAGATTGTTAGGAAATTTCTGACTTCCCTTTTCTCTGAGCCGTTGCTTTTTGACGCTCTGAGCCGTTGCTTCTTGACCTTTGAGCTTGTTACTCAAAAGCATCTTCCGCTCTTGGTTTTTGAGGATGATGTGCCGAACTACAGTGAACAGAATGGTCCTTGCTTTGTGAACACGATGTCCAGCTGTTGGCCCTCGCGTCGCTTAACATCATGCGGATGAGACAGTCACGTCTATCCTACGTAACGAAAACGCCTTGGATGCGCGATTTTTACCGTACAGCATGAAATCCTTGTTGCTGCTGTTGATAGACGATTAAATACCAAGACAATTTAATAGAGCTACGACAATCGAAAGTGTCCCCATTTCCGAGAAAGATTGTCGACCTCGCTAGCGCAGTGGGAACGTAGGTCTGTAGAACGACTGTAGTTCTTCGGAAGTAACATTGAAACTTTAGGTACTTCAAGTCACCGAAAAATTGCATAGCTCGGGCGTGGCGTCGGAAACGTTTTCCTAGTGTAACTTATTTTGTCCAAATATGAAAGTCATGACAACACTGCAGCGAAATCAACAGCTCTGTCGAAAAAAGTGAGTGAAGATCTGTCCAAAAGCGGCTTGCTTACCCTTACACTGGGCGAACCACGCACCAATCATCCCCAAAAAGGTAAGCAAAGCGTCTAGAAGACAGAAGCCTACACCCGATTACTCTCCGGATCTACCGTCTCCTCCTCTTCCTCGTCGCTGTCTGGCTCGTTAAACCAGCATACAGGGTTCACTTTCAGCGTATTGACGTCCATGCGCTCGCCGACAAGATCACGGATGTTGTCGATGCCGTACAAATTAGAACCAGAAAAGATCTTTTCATCATAAGAGTATGATAATTTGCTCCTATCTAAATCAGGTTAACAAGGCTACACGTTTTAACACGAGTGCTGAGAGTGTCCCCTTTCCTCCAAAAAATTCATGAGGACGACGATGACAATGTTGACAATCATCAGTCGTGAAGGGTGGTGTTCTACTTCACAAAGATCAGTCGTCAAGGAATACACGAGGGAGTGATATTAACTGGTTAACAATCTTAGTGCAAAGGTAGAATCTAGGCTTGCATCAGAGCAAGTCTCATAAATTGGATCATCGTAGGCCGCTCCAGGGAAATTCCCCATGCAATGACTCGGACGTTCTCAGGAACGCCCATTGGTCGGATCATCTCTGGCCGAAACATGCCACTGTTGCCGATCTCAACGACTTTGTTCAAACCCTTGTGGAAACCAAAAATCTCCATACCTAGAGAAAGGAGGACGTAAGAATAAGAAATGAAAGAGGAACAAGTGACGTCGTGTAATTGTCTGCTGAAGCTCCATCAAAAGTGTACACAAGAAGTAGGTACTCGTATACAGGGAGCATAATTGACCCACCATTCGCATGGAAATTGACAGTTGTACACAATTCTCCCCATTAATTTCGCATAAAACAGTACTTGGTTCCGTGTAGGGGTTGTATGCCGGCTTGAACTCGAGATCCGTAATTCCGATATGCTTGAAAAATTCCCGTAGAGTGCCAATCAAGTGGCCAAGGGTTAACCCTACATCCGCGATGAAACCCTCAGCTTGGTGAAATTCGGCAAGGTGAGTTGCATCCAACGTCTCATTTCGAAAAACGCGGTCGACTGAGAAGCACCTGAAAAATGTCAGAGATGCCGCGCTACTTCGTCCGTCAGAAAGATGACGACGGCGCGAACCTATTCGGCAAGCTGCCTAGGATTTCCCTGGCGACTTCTACCCGCTACTCTAGCTTGTTGCTTGGTTGTCAGTGGTCTTTCGACTGTTCCTGTTGATCCTGATATAGATACCAAAAGTTATCAGCCAGGGCGTTGATCCCGAATACAGGGAGTGGACACGTTGCTCCCAAAAGTAAAAAAACAAAAACTGGGCAGCGGAGCCACTAAAGAACGATGATGAGAAAGAAAGCTTTAAGGATCTAGAAAATCTAGAATACTTCATTGGCTTCCATTTCCCGAGCTTTTTGCACTTCTGCGCGTGCTTGTAGAGCACTCGTGAGGTGCACGCTGTTGTGTGCGTCCGCAGGATGGTCGTCAGCGCCTCAGCCTTTGACCATGGGTATCGCCATCCGATACTACCGTAGCCACCTGTTTCGTGCAGCTTCTGCGTTTCTGCGAAAATGGCTTAGACGTGTTTTCAATCATGCAATACGACGCCTTGATCGAATCGTACAGCATACTACCTCCAAAAGCATACGATACTTCTTACCAGTGGTGTGCTTACACCTTTGCCTTCTTTCAGCTTTATCAAGGGATTTATATATAATCCAATAGTTTTTACAACTAGATCTAGGTCCAGCCTTATCAAATCACAAGTACGAGGACTAGTTTTCTAAAATCGGTGAACATCAGAGGCCTTAAAAGTCCGCGGAAATCAGGTCTTGGTTGGCCTCTGCCGGGCTTTCGCAAAAGAAGGTATCTTGGGCATCCCGAGCTGGGTGTTGCTGGGGTTGGTAGAGAGTGTCGAAGTTCCAGAAGGAGCTCTCCACAAAGCGATTAGTTGGCATTTCCTGGAAGCCCATCTGGAAAAAGATTCTTCGGTAATGCTCCCTGACTTTGAGGCACGGGTGGAGCTGCCCTGCGGGGATGGGTTGACCCTGGGCCTCAAAATTCAAAGGCTTGAAGTTGGCGGCCGCCCACGAGCCCGTCTGCATCATCTGTTCCGTCAGTTCCGCAACGGCTTTTTGCGCTCGCGCCTTCGATTCAAACTCAGCTAGTTTCGTCACAACGTAACCGGTGGTACTCTCTTGCTGTTAGTTTTCAATAGAAAGTTGAAAACAGAAGTAGAGCTCAGCAACACGCGAGCACAACGTGTGACGAACGCAAGCGGAAATTTGAAGATGAAGAGAGGCAACATGCTCAACAGGAAGACCCCTTTTAATTCATTCCAAGATACAAAGTAGGGCTTCAACTCGTCTTAGTCTGCTTCTATTTGTCATATTTTTGTCTCCATCGATAAGCCAATCAGGAAAATTAGTACCTGGATCAGCTTTCTTTTCTTAAGTGCCTGCAACGTTTTTTCATCCGGGTAGGTATGCTTACTCACGGATACGAGAAGTTGTTGCGTTTCGTCGACGCGTGAAGCTCCTGCGGCGGTGATAACAAAAGTCGGCGTCGGGCCTTTCTCCTTCTTCCCATCGGCTCCCACTGCTTTCTTCTCTTGCTTGTTATTCTGAAGATGCAAAGGGGGAAGAACAAATCACTTTTTCAATAGTTGTATTCCTTCCTTAATAAATTGAACTAGCTTCTTTTACCCGCCGTCACGTTCAAAGTGTATTCATAGAATACCCTGCTCCTCCACCCATGTACTACATACTTCCAGCTAACAAGAAAATCATTTGAATTTTGTTGAAGTCTACAAGTACCTGTTCTATCCATCCGTTCTTCATAGCTTGGCCAAAACCAACTTGCACTATGTCTTTTCCCAACCTGGAAATCATCTCATCTTGCGTGGTCGACGCATTGCTGGTTACATCCGCGGCAACCTTAGCTTCCGGTGAGCCCTCTTGTACGACTTTGAGTCCCTCATCGGTGCACTTCCAACCGGCATCTAAAATTATAAGCATCATTAGTAGGGTCAAAAAACAGAAAAAGAAATTCATCAGACTCGTCGGTGCCGATCTGGTACTCAATATACTAAACGACCGCAAGGATTTCATCGACATTAATACGTTTGCACGTTGCTCGTTCTATTAATTTCAGTCCTTAAAGCATACCATAATCGAATAACGTGCATATTCGTTTTCGTTCTTTCTCGTACCTACGATATTTTAACACCAATACAGTAAAATATCAAATATAAATTTTACGTGCTTGCGGTTCTGCCGTGACCGCGCCAACTCCTTGGAGGGATTTTACAGCTCCAACAACACTCTGGTGGTCCCATCTGTGGTGTTCAGCTACCTGGAAAGTGTTCACACTTGACGCAGCTGAGGTCGAGAGGAAGTCAACGAAGACCTCCTTGGAAAAAGGAGTTGTCATCACCGTCATCTCTAAAAGGTCCGCAGCTAATTTGCGATCTGCACTCCCGCTTCCTCGAGCCGCCATACAGTTCCAACACTAGAAGTGGCGTCTTAGATACTCAATATTCTTACGGATGTAGTAGATTCTTGAGAAGTTTTTTCGTTAGTTTCGAATGACAACAGTCGTAAATGATAAACGGATAAGGGTCGACTTTGTTGTGTAAGGAATACAACAAAACGAAACAAGAGATATTGAGTAATTGCACAAGTGGGATCACCTTCTTCAAAACCAAAAGAACATGAATCAAATGTTGAGTCGTATTTCGTTGAGAAAAGCGGGGTTATAAACGATCTTTTTCTCAAACCCAGATTTAAGTCGTGCTCGATGAGCTTAGCTAGCAACAAAATTTACATATCCTGATGGGAAAATATCCTGAGCTTAGCTAGCAAAAAATTTGATAATATTGATGCACTACAGTAGTACTGCTTACGGAATGGGAATCGAAAGAGCTATCCAGCGATCGTACCGGGTCAATATTATTCCCGATCGACATCTATTCAAACATCTATTCTAAATCATGATTCAACATCTATTTCAAATCAAGAAACTCTCGCAACAATTACAATCTGATCCAATTATAATTTCTTCAGATGGTCGTGCACAGATATTTTCAGATCTATGACTGAGGAGCTTGGACGGTGAGAAGCCCAAAGGAGGACTTTCGCTTCGGTGAGGGCTGCGCAGGCTCTGCACCTGACTGGAAAGCGGGAACCACACAAACTCGGATCAACATTGGTGATACATTGTCTATATGAGATCTCCGGTTGGTCGTGATTTTTTGCTTGTGCTTTCTTCGGAGATCACTTTCAATCATCACCTGCATAGGCTGGGATCCTGATCAGGTCGAAAGTTTATGGCTTCTTAAGTTGATGATCCTGCCCAGGAAATTCTGCCACGTGCATAAGATCCTGAAGACTAACTATTTCGTGTTCACTTGCTTAACGAACAAACACATCACCCCCACCAATGCTTTTCTCATCATTGTGATCTTCCAGGTGAATCATTCTTCTGGGTGAGTTCTTCATTTCATAACAAGGATACTGTCGCACAAGCTGGGGCCAGGCAGTGACATGTCATATTCTATTTTGTCAAGTTCAGCAGTTCAATACTGTAAAATAGTTGAAGAACGGGGAGGGAAAGACCTCAGCTACTTGAGGGTGTGGATGAGCAGGCGCGAGTGGAGTGCGAAAAATTGGGGGAAAGCACCATCGGCAGCTGACGTTCTTTTTGCAAGGCTACCTGCGTTTCGACATTCGTTTTTCTTTGGTACCACTAATCTACAGCCGCTAGCAAAGCGCTAGTTACCGATACGTACATTTGTGAGAAGATAAACTAGACAGTTGTGTTACATTAGCGTCTGTGCAAGACTCTATCCAGCCCGGAGTGTGGTTCCTGTTCACACAAAAACCGGCGGTAACAAATTTAATTTCTTGAAGCAAACGTTTGGAATTGGACACGCGAAAAAGCTGGACGTCTTTTTCGATCTTGTTGTTACTGGAAATGTTTGACTCGAAGAGCAGAGTTCTTGTTAAAAGAAATATGATAATACTACCATTTCTTTGGCGGTGACGCAAGAAAGTCAAGCTCGCTATCTTACTATATTCTCAAGAAATGACGGACCCTTCAAGGCTGCTGCAGTCAATATAGAACAGAATATATTAGCTATGATGTAGTAGAAAAGGTTTCATTGGTAAATTTGAATAATGTCTGTCGAAACGCGTTATGGTTATCACGAAAGCGAGCACATTTTTTGTTTTCACGAGGCTCCTGACTTTCGCATACCTATGCGACTTCGCAAAGCGACACCTTTTACAGGTTCAGGACCGCCTTGCTGCAGCACCGTTCGTTTCAACCGCTTGTATGCTGACGCGTCGGCTACTCCCTTTTTAGCTTGTCCCTCGTCGTTGACCCTCGCTGACGGTCTGAAGAAAGGGACGTCCGGAACTTGCAGTGCAGTCGATGAGCGATTTTCGGACTCTACAGCAGCTGCCTCTTCCTCGTCAGCACTGGGCTCTTTTCCTACTGGGGATCGACTCCTCTCCACCTCGTCTACTTCCTCCTCTGGAGCTGGCTCGAGCAGGGCATCGCGCATGCTTATGCGGCCTTTCTTAGCGCTTACTTTTCTCATACAACATGCTGTAAAAATCAACGCGAGAAAAACTCCATCCGCACGTATCAAATTTTTTTGCCCGAAGATCTATTCCAACAGATGTAACATTTCTTTTTTGAATAGAGATATAACCATTTGATATCACGAGCCTTCGAGCCTTAACCTGCAAGTCGGGTTCGTCTCCTGGAGCATCGATCTTGCGCAGTCGCTCAACGTTCCGCATGATCACTAGCGTGCGCGGACTATAGGGCCGCTTTGCTGCTATCTCGAAACCTCCTTTGCCCTCGTGCCCGCTATCAACCTCAAAGTCCCCACCTGCGTCAAGCCATCGGTCAGCACGTTCGTCGTGCGACAACAAAGCAGTACTGCCAATCTGATGATTTGTGAGATGATGAAGTGAGTAACAACGAAGTCTAATGACAGTGGAAATCCGGGTGGTGAGATCGATTGTAAAGTGTTACTAAAGCGCGCAACGAGCAGCCATGTGTGAAGGAACGATAATTTCCGTTTCACGAAATCTAGAGGTAGATATAGATCCCAGGACAAAACGACCACGGCAACATAAAGTGCATTATTGGCGGATTCTACCTTGTGCGCAATGCTCCACAACTGCGTCGAGAATTGTGCTTTGTGTTTCAGTGGTAATCGCGACCCTGGTGGCCGCTGTTCTCGAGTCGTGCCGCTCTTTGCATCCGGGACCGCTTCGTCTGGCTCGTCGAGACCAGGAAAAGGAACCCAGTCGTCTTGAAGCACCCTATCATCTGTGATCGAAAAGGAGGCGATCATGAGCAGTTTGTAAAATCTAGAAAAGCAGTAGATAAGAAAAAAACTTCTGGTGCAGAACGTCCTTTTTCTGAGAGTTGCACCCCTGTTGAACAAGAGCACCTAACACTACTCTATCATTCAAGATTTTTACAGTTTTGCAAACAAGTCTTTCTTCGTTCCGTACAGTAATCTCCCAGGGTGACGGTTGGATCGGTGCCTTCGCCCCGTAATTTTGCAGGACTTGACCGCGCTGTATCGCCCCGTCTTGATCGTGCTGAGTCCGCTTTTGCAGGCTGCACCTCCCTATTAAGTATTGCACGTTGTGCCGGGGGTAAGATGGCACTCTCGCCGTGGTAATACTTCTCTGTTTGATACACCTGCCACTCGGCTGCGGACATATGCCACCGTACGCCGCGCTGCCACCTTGCCCACGCGCGCTGCTTAGTCAACAGAATAAATGGTCGCGATTGCAACATTTTTTCCGTCTCCGTCTCTGTGTGCCCCACCTGATAATACAAACAATAGCAAATACCAAAAACTACTACAACTAATAAATATTTTTTCATACTCGCCCACTAATGGGAGATCAGTATTGTCTCACTGAATCATGACGAGAAGAATCCAATTTCAATTTCCTAGAAAAGAAATCTAGAAGAGTTGTATTACTTTTGGTATGTTTCTGGACGACACCGAGCCTCCAATTGTCTCCGATGCCCGCTTTTTTATGGAAGTTCTCGGCCTCCCCAGAGAATCTTTCGGTGCATTGCGCCACGCCTTAAAAACCACTCCCTGCAACCTGCCGCGATACAACGTCATCGAGAGATGCCGCTTCATAGCACCGTGGAGCAATTTCGCCATGGCTGCTGACCGCCGCGTAACCCGTCCAACTAACACCGGTCTTGACAGCTGTGATCATTGGATAATCAAGGATGCATCAGAAAAGTCGCTTGTGCTGGGAAACGTTGTACCAACGTAATTCTCTCATATCAAGATCATTATATACCCCCATAATGACGTCGATGATGATCATCCTGACAAAACAAAAAAGATCGACGAACATAAAATTTTGCCAAGTATCACTATGGAATGTTCGTACCGGTTCCCACGCCATGCGCAGCCGGCTGCGGATGAGACGCCGCAGTACGAGGGAGGCTCGGACCATGTGAGTGATCTTGGGATTCCTAACCAGCATTCGATACCTCCACGACCGCATCAGTACCCGAAAGAAGCGCTCGCGATCGATCTTTCTCCTGAAATAAAGGGATCAAAGAAGACAACACGTAAACATTATAAATTTTCATGAACTCTGTTACTATGATGCTAGTACCCAATACGACGAAATATTTATCTAGCTACTTGGTTTGGCTGTAAGAAAATATTTTTCGTCCTTCACACCCTTTTCGGAATTTCTATCCTTACTGCATAGCACATTTCAATACTTTGCTTTCTGCAAATGCAGATAGCCTCGCCAGGCCGTGAAAGGCGAGTGTATCGTTCGCATCGTCGAGTAACGCTCTGCCAAGCGCGCGAGTCGACCGAGTATAACCGCATCGAGCCACCAGTCTCCCGCCGCTGTTCGTGCCACCTCTGCCGCCCTCTGTTTAGAGGACGAAACGTTTCTCGTGTAAAATCCAAGATCTTAAAATGTTCTAATCATCTGGTCTATGAAGCGCGTAGTACTGGGTAGGTTGGGAAGATAGCTAGATCATCCGATTCTTATACAAGAATCATGGGTAAGCGAGTCGGCATGCCATAAATTGTTGCGGATCCAACTCCGGTTTGACTCCTGTACCCGGTGAGTGGGTTTCGCCATCAAACTGGGCCGTCTCATCCTCCCCGTCGAACCCGACAAAGACGGGCTTACTCATTTTCTCGTCTTCACCGGCATGCCCCTTTGCCGGCCGATGCTGTTTTCTCTCTGGCCTAAATCAATTTTAAGAGAAAGAAGAAATGCTGATACTCAATTTTTGTTGAAGTTGGTACATGAACAACAAAGGAATATTCACAAGTAAGGATCCTTTATTCATTAGTCAGGCAGTAGCGATATGGTTACTCGGAAACGAGTTTTTAGACGGATAAATACTTCAGGTTGACGCGAAGATACCCAATAGAGTACTTGTCCCCGAAATTGATATCGATGTTATAGCCCGAAATCGATATCAACTGTGGAATACTAACCCCTTTCCACAAGTACTGTCAAATTTGATTGGAAAGAGCTTGACGAAAACGACCGCTATTCTGTTTCTTCCTCAATCTGCTCTCTGCAAAGTAGGGTAACGAAACAGCTTCTTAATACATTCACAAAAATCATTGACGATAGCGACGTACTGAGTTCGACTTGCCATGTAAGAACAATAGAGTCTTAGCGAAGCTGCTTTGTGCATCTTGTAAACACATTGTAATCAAGAAAACCACTATCCGACACGGGGCGCACGGTCGACACACAACGGAGAAAACAATTGTGTCGCAACACCTGGCTGCGATGTGATTTTCTAATTCAGATATGTTCGCCAACGAGTTCATTAGTATGTTCTCGCAGGAGGGACTCGCTTTCTCACATTATCACTGCTATCTGGGTCTATCCTTGTTGGGTCAATATTCTTTTGTGCTTCTTCTGGTGACACTTCCTCACCAGCGCTTTCACTTTTCTGCAAGGCGTCCAGCGCAATCCAGCCGCGAAACGGTGCTTCGAGCTCGAGCCACGCGCCCCGATGATCCGAAACAACAGTTAGGTCTACAGGACCGGCATCAAGCTCGCCTACGACCGGCGCGTCGGCAGCTGGTGCAAACCGCACTAGCACACCTCGCCCTTCGCTGAGCTGGTACTCGCCTGGCGCGATGCTGGGTGGCTCGCGTGGCGCCGGCGGTGGTGCTACTGTCACGAAAAAGACATACAACACTAAGAGTGTGCTGCTCCCGAAGCCGACTACGTAGAGCAGAGGTAGGAAAACGTCGCCGCGGACTGAACTTGATCCTGCAAGCCAACTGTGAAGGAGTCCGGCGCCAGGCACGCCCGCAGCGAGCATGGAGGACCATGCATCTCCCCCGGCTCGAAGCGCAGAGCTGCTACTCCGGCACATGTCGTTCGGCCGTTGTGCTTCTGCTGCACCCAATACTTGCGGTAGCAAATACGGCATCCAGTGTAGATGGGAACTCCAGTTGTGGTCCGCAATGTTTCGAATGCAAACACCTATTTGATTAACGGCACGATATTAACTCAACGATACTAAGCAGTCATAGCCTAGAATAACACAGCACAAGTCATCCAAAGTGTGTATGCGCAGATTCGCAAGCTCCATTTTCTAGAAAAAGCTTCAGAAGCAGAACACGTTAATCTAGTCAAAAATGGTAACTATTCTGTAGCAATTACGAAGGTGTTCGCGCATGCAGGAGAAGTCCGTCTGCGCCGACAGAGCTACGGCTGATCCAAACTGGGGCACACTGAACCTTCCTTTCGCTTCCGCATGTTTATCCAATGTGACGTCCAACTCAGCCATCGGATTTGCATCGAGCAAAACATAAGCAAAGGGACAGGGCTCTCGGTCTTCCGCTATATTGGCTTCGCAATCAGCTAGCCGTAGCCTTGCTTTTTCGTGCAAGTACTCGTCACCGCGCACACTTTCCCATGTATCCTCCTGAGGATCCCCATAGTAAGGCTCGATTTCGATTACGACGTCACGCATAGTTTCGATCTGCTCCAGGGCGAGTTTCAATTTCGCCGTATTCGCGACATTTGAGCACACCTAGGTGGCATAGAACATAGAAAACTGTTTTTTCCATCATCTGACGAAACCTCGACTTGTATTTCTGTGCCTGCGAACTTTTGTCTTGAACTCAGCCCTACACATTTGTGTATGTTGTGAGAACCATCAAGACCGAGATTGTACTAAACTATAATATTGCTGACTGACCTGCGTCTGGCACGTGTCGCTGAGCATGTTGCCAGGATCCACCACACGCACCGCCCCGTCAACGCCGAGGAAACAATAGAAGAATGCCCAGAGGAGCCGCATCGTCCTAGTGTGTCGCTTCATCTGCGTAATGGGGAAGCCCATGCTGCCCGTCATATTTCTAATATCTCAAAATTGATATAGCATAAGCAGAGATCGAAGAAAACACCAAGACCACAAAGCGGTGTGACATGGCTTCATGAATGCAGCACATATAAGAACTGAAGAGCAGCTTCCTCGGAGGAGCAACTATGTCTAGGTAAACTCCACCTAGCTAAGCTCCATCACGAGATGTGAATTGGCAGGGAATATTCAATCAGGGAAATTGTTCATCAGGCAGCCTTTTCATCTCGTTTTGCGCTCGCCAACTCTTCAGTCACCCCTCGTTCGCACATCGCCGCGGAAAGTGGGAAGCTACCGTTTTCACCGTGTTGCTTCTGGACATTTTCTGAAATCAAGAAAACCGCTCATGTCATCATGCAAAGCGTGTCCCCCTAACAGTATGCATGCTGATGCCACAACAAACTTTGGTAAAAGATAAAAGAGCCCACAAATTCATCGTTTTCTCGGTTCTGTACAGCTAAAAACTTTTTGTAGATGGCTTGCCAAGCTGGCAAACATGTTCTTCGGTTTTTCTGGTTCCTGGCGCGGCTGAGGTGGAGCTAGCGTTGATAAAACCTTTCTCGCGTCCCGATAGAGACTTGCGATAACATACGACACCTCGCGTAGCCGTCCTCTGTCCGCAGAGCTCTCCGGAACGAAAGTTGCTTCGATTCTGAAAACAGAACATAAAATAGAAGTGAACAAGTATGCTTGCGTGCAATATAAACTATCCTTGCTTGAGGAAAATAGTTAAGAAAACATCTACAAAAAGAACGCACAGCTCTACTTCAAAAAAACGCCGGCAAAGTGGATGAATAACATTAACAATAAGAGTTGTTTCGTAAAAATAAAAATATAGGGATTCCAAAAGTGGATTTACCTCTGCAGCGTTATATCCAACGTGGCCACTTGGTCTACCACGTCGACCACCATGCTGCGATAGATGTCATCTTCCATCTGGTGGGGCTCGTGTCTATGAAAGTAGTCTAAAGAAGAAGAATATATAAAGCCAAAGTACTTCGTGATGACCCTAGCATAGATCATCAGCACAACATCTAATCTGATTTTTTCACGACCTCCTCTTTCTAGGCAGATGAACGCAGTCGTCCCCTTGATTGCCGAGAAACCACAACTCAACTCATAATGATCGATGGAATTTTCTCTTTGCTGCGCTATGAGCTCGAGGTGTCGAGTGCGTTCCGACACTATCGCTTGCAGCTCCGTTCGCAACCGGGAAATCGTTACCGAGACCTTTGGCAGCACGTTGCTGTCCAGGAAATTTCGTACTTCTCCTATGTGCTCGCACCGCTGCAACACCTCCGCTCGCTTCTCTGGTGGAAATACCATGCTGTTGCGATTTCGAATCGATCCAAGAAAGATATCAGTAACTAGGTTGTAATGCGGACCGCGGGCGGTAGGCGCTGTTCGTCGTGCTAGGATACTGCGGTTCGGAAAAAGGAGGGTTCACAAGCGTTTCCCTCGTGCCACGGCAGCTTTCTAGACGCAACGTAGTAACGTAAGGACGTAGGCGACAAGACGGTCGACATTAGGCACATCGCATCATGATGGCGAGCGCTCTGATTTGAGTCTCTGATATGTGTAACTACAGCCGCTCCTCGACATTTCACTTCTCTTATGCTACCATCTTTCACTTTTTGTCATTGCCTTTTCCATTGCCCAGTTGACATTTATTTAACAGGAGCACACCCTTACTTGCACACTGATCTGTTGCCTGTGTCGTTTCAGCATCACATCGCCTCTTCATTTCTGAAACATTCTAGGCGAAAACGTTTACTATCCTTTTTTGATCAGATCCTCCTTAACCTAACTCTCTCCTATCTACGTATGACCACATACATCAACGAAGATCATCCAATACTTACCGCAAACCCAATGCTCCAGCACGCTGATGATCCGACATCTACACCGGTGGTCCTAGGTCGGATAGTTGGTCACATTCTTCTTGTTGTTTGTTGCCGTTGTTTGTTGCTTGTTGCTTAGTGAGTTCTGACGATTCGAATCAATTCCGCAGCTTGCCTAGGATTTCCCTGGCGATTTTTACCCGCTAATCTCGCTTGTTGTTGGATTCTAAAAGAAGTGCTTGATTTGGAAGTTGTTGCTGGTCATGAAACAGTCCCGAAAAACTATCGGTGGATGAAGATAGTCTTGAGACGGATCAAGATAATGGGTAGAAAAACGAAGGACAGCGGTGGAAGGCTGAAAAAAGTTCTTTTACAATAGGGCTAGATGTTAAGGACGGCAAGTAATGTAGAAAACATAATGAATGTTGTGGTTTGATGTTCAAAGAGGTAGTTTGAGTATTGCCGTAAGAAAAAAGGTGATAATCTAATAGGCGCATCGAAAATTGGCTGATAGGGAAATAGATCATAGCGTACGTAAACCTTTGGAAATTTGGTACTAGTCACGGAACAGAGGCAGATGCTATATTTCTAGCGGCGGAAGGAATCACTCTAAGATATTCATAGCAGAAAATCATCAAATGAAATATCTACTCCTGGTGTTATCAAAGTTGACAAGGAATCTTCATATGACGCATAATTCTACTCTTGGGAGATAAGCTGGCAGCAAGGGAACAGCTTCATGACGCAGCCGGTGGCATATGTTTTTTGCATGTCGCAGCTTATGATTGGAGAAGTGCAACATCGATGATAATCTACTCCATAGAAAGTGCGATGATAATCGACTCATGCGCACAGATAATCTTTGCACGAAATCTATATTACGTTTCCAGAGATAAACAGCAATGAAGATATGCGCGAAACACGAGACACGGTTTAGAATATCAACGAAATCATATTCTACATTTACTCCAGAGAAATGAAGAACACCAATTTTAGGCGGCCTATCGTAGAAGTCCCCCACGGCTACATCATCGTTATTCATTCCTGAACAACGAGATCTCCGTTACAGTTGTAAGAGAGCTTGTACTGCGCGCAGGTCCTTCACGACTTTGGCATGTAATGCCTTGAACTGCGATGGCGTTTTGAGGACACGCTCGCTCCGGTTGAACACTGGAAGATTCTCCACGTGTGCAGCCACGATGGGACAACTTCGGCGAAAAAGTTCGACTGTCTCCGCCCCCGAGGCAACGGCTGCAACTGTTGTGATCCCCCCCGGGACCAAGAAGCCGTTAGGAATCGACAGAGCGGCTAGCGCGGGCAGCACATTGCCCAGTAAGCGGAATAGGCACTGCACCTCCTGCGATCGGATTAAATAGCGCTGCACTCGAGTGCGCTCTTTTTCAGCGAGCACTAGCCGGCTCATCCGTGCTAACATCGACAACAGCTGCCTTGCGAGAAAGCCGTCCTCCTGCATTGGCGCTGGTTCTTGCGTCAATGGCGTTCCCACCGTCGAGGCCGCGGCACTACTGCTTGCGCTCGAAGCTAGTTCCTGAAATGGAATAAAACAAGTACTGTTCTGAAGATAGCAAGTACCTATTCTGGCCGCGACATTAACTCCGCCCAGGTTAATGTGACAAATAAATACATCTTTTTGTACATTGCAAAAACAACAAGCTTACTTTGATTAAGAGTCTTCTTAGTCTATTGTAAGTACGGATTGCGTCTCCGTCACAGATGCGCTGTAACCCTTAGACGTAAGTTCGTTTGTTCCTTCGACGGGAGTCGATGCTGCAGTGCTGGCGTTCGAGCTCGATGCCTGCGCACTTTTTTTGTCCTCAACCGTAGTGAGCGGCATGCGGCGACTCAGCATCTTCCTTTCAAATTGTAACAGATCATCCAAAGCGGAGTTGAAGTTTTTGTATCTGGTGGTGGTGGAGGAATGACGCACAATAAATGGCCGAATTTGGAACTCGAAAAAAATATTAATCGTAGATTACCATTAGTCTTGAACGAGAGGCCATAATACAGGACTGAAAAAAGGTCTGAAGAGAGGGACAGTACTTCTTAGGCTGATGAGCCTTGTTGTGGCTCGCCAATTCTTCACGTTGCATGTGCTTCTCCATATACATAGCTAACTTCTGCCGCTTTTCCTGCTGCGCGCGCACCCTCTCAGCTACAACTCCATGGTCGTCAGGATTGAACTGAACTTCATCCTCATCCGGGTCATCGTAAAATAAGCCCTGAGCAGTGAACATATGTAATTAGTTTCTCTTTCTCGTCTTTTCTTCAGTTAGTTCTATAGAACCAAGTCTAAGATTTATCAAAGAAAACCCTGAATTTCACTGAGTTCCTTCTTCGCCAATTGTCGCTGCATTAACTTTGAAGATACGTGTAATATCAAATACTGTGTGTTGTCCGGGCAACACGTGGGTTGGCAATCGCTGGAGTCCACGATTACCTACTCCTGCACCGAAAACCTCTTGGCGAACCTTTCTAGCAAGTCTTCGCTTGTTCTCGCTTGTATCCAGTTTTCCTGTCGTCTTTCGCACGTAATTGCCGTGGCCATCTATTAACGGCCGTTCTAGTTCATCGTCCTGACAAGTTAAGTGGTACCCTAAGACTGTCTCCTCCCCTTAAGTTCATCTCAAATTAACTTGAGAGGATTTCTACTCACAAGGATACGTCATGTGGGATGATGAAGCAGTAGCCTTAAGTCTAGGTAAAGACCTGACACTGATGTCTCTCGTAGTGTTCCGCCGTCTCTGGTTCGATAAACGGTTGCCGGACGCACGCGTTGCTCCTTCTGAAAAATAAATGTAGGGTTTACGTTGTTTAACTGAAAAGCAAGCAATTAGTTCGACATCCTAGAAGTGAAAATTTACTTGACTGTCTCTGTCGCTGTTCAAGTAGTTGTAACGTTTAATATCTGAATTAATTTTTTTTGTGACAAAGTCTTCCAATAGGTTATGATAGTTCTAGAGGCACTCATCTGCGTTTCGATTATCCAGTATTTGGAAAAGCACGATTTACATAAACATTGTTGTGGTCAGGTCGATGTGTAACAAACAGATTCAGATCCTACGTCCGTCTGGTGCTCGTCGACTATTTTTGGTCCTTCGACTGGAGAAACGGGTGTGCTATTCGTTGGTGTAAAAAAACTTGGTGGCCACAAACGCGAACCGGCCCAGGCACCAGGCCACGCCCGAGCGGTCGCCGGTCGCCTCTTCTTTGTCTCGTCAGCAGCCTTTGCCGCTACCTTTAGTCTTTCGCCTACAAACGCATCGGCGGTGTCGGGTCTTGGTCGCACGAGGAGACGGTTGCTCGTGTCAGTAGCCGGAGAAGCCGCTTTGCTGTTGCTGCGCGACAGCGATGACACGAGGTTTTGACTAGTACCACTGCGCGGGAAAAGTGTTTGACTCGCAACGACTGTCCCACCGCCGTCGGCGGAAATCGCAGCCGGAGAGCTCAAGCTGGCACTAGGCGGTCCTGCTGGCGACCCGACCGCGGAACTGGACTGCGAACCGACACTAGGCTCGATGCCAACTCGTGTTGTTTTGGTCTGGGGAGCGGGCTGACCAATTAAGGTCTGCATACGCTGCAACGCCGCGGTCGCCGCCGCAGTTGGCGGGCGAAAATCAACAAAGGGACTCCGCTTCTTTGGTCTCGCGTCACTGGTGCGTGGCCGATGCTTGCCGTTTGGAAGAAACAGTCCTCCCAAATCAAGCAACACCCCCTGCTGCACCGAGCCGGACTCTACCATGGGCGTGCTGCTTCTCGACGAAAAACTTGGCATCTTTTTGTTGCAGCAGTCTTTGTTTTGTATAAATGATATTTACCGTGTCAGATACAACAATCTCACGATTGTGTGACCAATCTAAGTTGTAGATTGAATCCTGACCTATCTAGGTCTCTTTAATACATACACTGTAGAGTGACGTTGCTCACCGCGTGATCGCATATTACAAACACACATATACTCATAGTACTTGACAGAAAATAAATGAACGAGGAAGGGAGGGGGCGAATGTGAAGTAGGTAGATGTAGGTCTTTTTCGTCAGACGACATGTGGATATGCATTGGAACATGAAAATTCACTTTACTAGTACTGCTACTCAGGCATCGTTTGTTCTAGAACCGAGTTGTTTCGTTTATCGTGCGTCCGATTCGATAGTGTTCTTGGGTAAACGTACAGCACGAGAAGATATTCAGCAGCGCTCAAGACCGATCACCAACATTTCACGCATACACACTTGCTTCCTCTCGGAAGCCAATCGCACACACGCGACATTTTCTTTTGACAGTCTAGTAAAAATCGCGGTAACACCGATCGTTGCATAACAAATGACATCACAAGCACGACTCGAGAAAATGACCAAATCCGTGGATGGGCGAAATTGGTCTCACGAGCTGGCTTTTCTGACAATCGGATGAATGCGCTTTCGACCCCGCAGACCGGAATGAATTTCTTTCTTCGGAAAAAGGTTGAATCGCATGCCTTATTCCAAAAAGGAAGGCACTGCAAGCAACGACCCTAAACACAACATCTGACTCGTTCCTATCAACATAATTCAATCATGAAACAAGTGTTGTTTCTGCTTTCACCGCTGTTCTTCTGTACAGATGGGGAGAAATTGTTCGGTCTCTTTGTCAGTCTGTGCAGATTCTGTTCATGAGCTATTGCCTTGTAGTGATGCACTTTCGAGATCTGGTGCCGAATCTTCGTCTCCGTCATCCAAGATCAGCGCGCCCTTGGTCTCCCGCCGCAAAAAGGTGTGCACGCTACAGGCAATGAAGAGCATGAGGACCCCGACAATGCTGACGAACCCGTTGAACGACTTCTCCGTGCCGCCGGAAGAGAATGTGAGTTCAAACACAACCGGCGCTGAGATCGATCCTGCGCGCCCGACTGCCGTGCAGAGGCCGACCGCGGAATTCCGTATGTCGATCGGGAATGTCTCCGCAGTAATCACTACGCAAATCAAAAAGAAACCCAGAGCACTGCACTTCAACAGATAAGCGCACACGACGTTGAGCGCCTCTAACAGCCAGTCCATCATGCCAAAACAGGCTACCGCGCTTGCTGCAGCAAATATTTGGAGCGACGTGCGGTGTCCGAGCGTGGTATGATTCGCCAAGTAGAACGCCGCAAGAATGCCCTGGTAGGATCATAATTCTTTGTTTGTTGTGAAAGAAGTGTTGCTTATAAGTCGTGTAAGGCATGCGGCCTAGGCGGTGCCTGCATTAGTCAAGGGTCACTAGTTAAGAGAGTTCGGTTAAGCGGGGTAAAGCGTGTCGCTGAAGTGGTGACCCCAGTAGACAAGAATCAGTAGTTAAGCGAGTTCGCTTAAGCGGTTTAAAACGTGTCGCTTAACTCGAAACTCGACTACTGCACAGGCACTACTTAAGCGAGTTCGCTTAAGCGGTGTAAAACGTTTCGCATAACTGGTGATTCGACTACTGCACAGGCACTAACTTAAGCGAGCTCTCTCAAGTGGTGTAAGACAGGTCGCCAAAGCTGTGGCCAGTACTTAAGACGCACTGCTTAAGCGAGCCGGTTAAGTGGTGTAAGAAGAGTCGCTTAAGTGGTGCACGCACCACTTCAGGTCCTCTACTAAGGCGAGCTCGCTTAAGTGGTTGAACACGTGTCGCTTAAGTGGTGAGCGCAGCACTCAACCTCGGTCTTTCGGAGGTGACTCCTGCGTCCTTCCCGTACCTCACGTACGTTCGTCAAGGAATGGATCCAAAGGAACAAGAAATACAATCCCTAGCCTAATTTGAAACACGTGAAATCAACGTCTACCAAAGCATTTTCAAATAAACCATCACCACGAAAACAAGTGTTACAAAAAAGTTTACCGGAAGGCCCAACACACTCATGACTGCGAGCTCCGCTGCGGTGGAAATCATTCCTACTTGCACAGCCGCAAAGAATTGTGGAAAAACGTATGACAATCCGAAAACTGAAAAATCTTTTGTGAAATGACACACCATCAGAAAGAGCGTGGTTCCGAAGAGAGCGTCGCTTGTGAGAGCCTGTAGCGTGTTTTGAAGAAATATCAAATCACGCACAACAACATCTATGCAAAATTACAAGGTAGTATGAACGTTTGTCTGTTTGAGATCGAATAAGGTGCATATCTTAGTCATAAAAAACCTCGTAGAGCCGGTGGAGCTGCACATCCCACGATTCCTTGGAAGAAGACATCGTCTCTGTCTTCTCGAGGTTTGACACTTGCGCCTTGAGGGGTTGCCCAGCGTTCAGCGCGGTGGCCGTAGCCGCGAGCGATCGCCGTCGTTCTTCTTCTGCTGCGAGTTGCGTAAGCCGTTCTTGCACCTCCGGAGTTATTTGGGTTCCATTCCGCAGAGCCAGTATGGTCAAAGTTTTCTGCAGCTCTGAATACTTCCCTTTGGAACGCAGATAGTGTGGGCTCTCCTCGAGAAAGAAGTAGGCTAGAGCGAGAAAGAGGAACGCCGGTACAGCCGAGTACTCGCACAGCATGCGCCAACTGCAATTATTTGCAGCGAAGAAAAGGTTGTAAAACCCGTGGCCAAATTCTGCCGCCGTCGTCTGCTCACAGTCCTGGCGCATTTCGTTGTCACTCGCATTATCCGAACTATCAATCCAGCTCTTACTCCTTTTGTGTAAAGCTTTTGGTTCGAGCGGAACAAGTGTGTTTTCGCGCGCTTGTGCATCGTTGTCACCTTCATATCGAAAACGGAGCTGCCGGCGCTTCGATAGGACGCTTTTCTTGTGTGGTCGTACGAATCGCGCCGACCCTTCATCTCTTGACTCTAGCGGTTTTGTCGGGGACCTGCCCAATGCCATGACGCATGAGCTGTCAGTGTATTTTTGCGACGGTGAAATGAGCCCCGAGCTTCGTATCTGCATTAGTGATAAGGGATTCAAGCTTGCCGCGATGGTTGTTGCTGTACGAAAGAGCGTCCGCGAGTTTCTCTTGCGAAGACTACTTTTTGCATTATATCTCGCGCTAGTATAATCGTGGAGAAGATTAGCATGCTGTAGACTTTCTAGACCGTTCCAACTTGTCGGCTTCGAAAATGTAGTATCATTTCCAGTTTCGTCAGTTTGCAAAAAGAACAGGCGAGCGGCAGATGTCCCGCGCTCAGCTCCGAGAATATCGCAGTGCTTTTGTGAGGTATTCAGCCAGGGATCGATCATCAGCACACCAATTGCAGCAAACAGCTCCCCGAGCTTAAAATGTTTGTGTTGTACAATACGCTAACAGGTAGAACCTTCGCCTACAAATAGCGTTAGCAAATAGGCATATGCCTGAAGTATTAAGCACTGCCTCGTTATCGTCGTTATCGTTCAATGTATTCAGAACATTGACATTCTCTTGAAACATTTTTCCCAAAAACTTTAGCAGAAACTGTCTTAGACAACTTTGTACTACTACTTGGCGTATCGAATATTGATACAGCCATAAGTACGACCTTTATGTCGAAAAAGTTTTTATACTGCACGAAGATTAGTTTAAAGACGTTATTTTCTAACATACCGGGTTCGCCATAACTAGAGGCATGATCCCGATCATGAGGATGTTGCAAGCGCTGCGGACCGCTAGGGGACTGCCCTCTGGGATCATCGTGTACACGGCTGGAAATCCCACCCCACACCCAACTCCGACCATGAACCGCAAGCATAGCATCATCCACACGTTGAGGGCGTAAGCGGTCGCGATTCCGAACACCCCAATGAGCACATACGCAATCAAGATAGCGCATCGCCGACCGTAGTTGTCACCCAAGAAACCGCTCAGAAGATTTCCGAGACAGAACCCAACGAAGACGACACTCACCATCGCACCTCGCAGAAATGGAGAGAGTTCCCAATGTCCGTGTAATAAGGTCGTGATCGATCCCATCACCTATGTGTGTGTGAGAATCAATCAACATAAATATCAAAAAGCTCTGAGTTAATGTAACCAAGGAATAACTAACGAGAGAATCACACCAAGGGCGGTTCATCATAAAAGTAAAACGGTCTTTATAAGGTCGTGTACGCTGTTGAGCTTGAAGTTGAAAGAAAGAATGTGCGCGTCGCCTAAGTTGCAGTGACTACATCGTTAAGGCATCACTCAGACAGCACGCAAGCGCCGCTTAGGGAGTCGCCGCACCACTTACGCAGCACCCAGACCAGGCGCTCCTACGGGGCAAAGCCGTCGAGTGGCGAAACCGTCAGGAGGCGAAACCGTTAGGGGGCGAAACAGCTAAGGCGCGAAACCGATAAGGGGCGAAACCTTTGAGGGGCAAAACCGCTCAGGGGCGGAACTGTCAGGGGGCGGAACCGTCAAGGGGCGAAGCCGTTAAGGGGCGAAACCGGTAAGGGGCGACCCCTTCTAGGTGCGAAATCGCCGAGGGGCGAAACCGCGGAGGGGCGAAACCGTTAAGGGGCGAAACCGTTAAGGGGCGAAACAGCTACGGGGCGAAACCGTTAAGAGGCGAAACCGTTAAAAGGCGAAGCCGCTGAGGGGCGAAACCGCTGGGGGGCGAAACCGCTAAGGGGCGACACCGTTAGGGTGCGAAATCACTAAGGGACGAAACCGCTAAGGGACGAAACCGCTACGGGGCGAAACCGCTAAGAGGCGAAACCGCTGAGGGGCGAATACGGGCCGAAACCGCTACGGGGCGAAACCGTTAAGAGGCGAAACCGCTGACGGGAGAAACCGTTAAGAGGCGAAACCGCTGAGAGGCGAAACCGCTGAGGGGCGAAACCGCTAAGGGGCGACGCCGTTAGGGTGCGAAATCGCTAAGGGGCGAAACCGCTGAGGGGTGAAACCGCTAAGGGACGAAACCGCTGCGGGGCGAAACCGTTAAGAGGGCGAAACCGTTAGGAGGCGAAAGCGCCAAGTGGCGCAACCGTTGAGCGGCGAAGCCGCTGAGGGGCGAAACCGCTGAGGGGCGAAACCGCTGAGGGGCGAAACCGTTAAGAGGCGAAACCGCTGAGGGGCGAAACCGTTAGGGGGCGAAACCGCTAAGGGGCGACACCATTAGGGTGCAAAACCGTTGGGGGACGAAACCGTTGAGGGGCGAAACCGTTAACGGGTGAAACCGCTAAGGGGCTACGGGGCGAAACCGTTAAGAGGCGAAACCGCTGAGGGGCGAAACCGTTAAGGGGCGAAACCGTTGAGGGCCGAAACCGCTACGGGGCGAAACCGTTAAGAGGCGAAATCGCCAAGCGGCGCAACCGTTGAGCGGCGAAACCGCTAAGGGGCACAACCGTCAAGCGGCGCACCCGTTTAGTTACCCTTTGTGCTATTCAAGCTAAAAAAGCGAAAGCACCAGCATTTCGCTGCCCTCCGCAAACATTATTCCGCCGCATAACAGCACTTGTAGAAGCTGGAAGCAGCCGAAGCCAAGACGATCTATTTCTCCCTGCAGCTCCTTTGCACTGATCTCCTGTACCAGCATGTGCCCTGTTCGCGTGGACTTGTCCATCTCACTGACTTCCTCGGCAGGTTTCTCTCCTTGCGCATCTGCTGCAGCAGCTGCGCCCTCCATTGTTGCCTCGCAGGAAGTTGCGGGTGATGTGTTTCAAGAACCAGAAGAGAATCCAAGGTGTTGGGAAGCTGCGGGTGCGCACCAGTACTAAATCAGGTTAGCTGTACTGGTGTGCACGGTGGCGGAGGGCGGACTCGCGCCGCTTTTCCAGGACGCTGGTGCGACTTGCATTTGCTTGCCTTCACAAGGGCCTCTAGCAACTATGTTGGTCCAGCTCGTTATTCCTGGTCAGCTTGCATGCGCATTCACATTTTTATCCGATCTTGACCGTAGTAAGAGTTGACGCGTTCTTCTCTAGCATAGCATCAACCAGGCTCTCAGTCAATCATGTAGAACTCTAGGTAACCAGATGATTAGTCAAATGTGGCAGGAAAAATAGCACGTGTGGGGCTGCGGGAAAAGCATCCCTTAAAAAATCCATTCGAAAGCCAGTACGACAGAGGTGAAGTCCCGTCACTGCCACGAAGTCTAACGATATTGTCGTTTCGGAGAAGGTCCCGTGGGTGAAATTTTGCTTGAACTTATTGCCGTCTGCGGTCCCCCTCCTGACTTGTCACCTTTTCTCTCGTGCCGCTTTTTCCCTCATCCACTTGTCACACAGGCCGTTCCCTTCTTTTAGACCTCGTAGTAATTCCAGGTGGCATCTTTCTTCCTGGCAGCGCAGCGCCAACATTCTTGTTCATAATCAATCGATGCTTTCTCAATTTGCAATGGTTCCCACAAAAAATATAGAGATGGTGTATCAGCTTTTTACTACCGCATTACTCCAGTTTATATTAAATTCTTGTCCAAGTGGTCTCATGATGCTTACGCAGCTTCGCGGCTCAAGTCAAGTCGTAGTAATGCGCGTGGGAAATTTTGTTTCCCTCCTTGTCCTGGATCCCAAAGCCGTAGACGCTGACAGACGTGCAGCGCTGCAGCGCCAGCTGGATTCCAATAAGACCCTGCTTTGGATTTGTACCTCGTTCCAGTGCAAGCTCAGGATCCAACGCCACTGCGTCTTCTATCCAGCGTGGACTCAGAATGCGAACCGCTTTGAATCGGCTCTTCCACTTTGTTGGGTGCGGTTATCAATGAAACAAATAACAGCCAGAGGAGCCATGCTCACAGAAAGGTTGAAAGTAGCATCGCTAATCTACTAGCGTAGAACCCCAAAGTCGAAGTAGGCCACGCTATTTTACACCGCAAAACATCTTTCAAATTTGTCGATAGACAATAAAATGGATCAAGGAAGTCATCGAATCAAAATCAATCTGTTTTGGTCAGCCATAAACGTTTGAGTAAGCGCAACAGGGTTGCGGAGTGCGAATGAGGAATTTTTTCGGGCGTCTGAGGTGCAGCAGCCACCAATTGATGTCTGGCTCCTTGTAAAGGAAAACAAGCGCAGTTGTTTGTTGGAGGTCTTCTTCGGGTATTACGCTGCCACAGATACGCGACAAGTCGCTATTGCCTCCCATCGCTTCGGGATAGACAAACCGAAAGGTCGTCTTGCTCCCTACATCTGCCTCAAAACCGCGCTGCCATGAATATTTTTAGCCAGACATCACAACAAGGGTGTACTGACTCTTCATTACTGTAAACTTCTATTCTTCTGATGTGAATCTGAATGAAGTTCAACTTTAATCTTCTACCTCTCTTTTGTAAACGATCATTTTTGTATCCCCAAAATGAAAGTAAAAACGACATCTGTATCGGCTCTAGCAAAAAGAACGACGGCCACTTCTTCTAAGTACGGAGAAAACGCAAATACTGTCGGTGCGCAGGAGAAACGAAACACAGTTTCGTGAGCGTCAATCTCAGCTCCGAGGCCTGTGAATTCCACGTTGTTGCTGTTTCCAACCACCGCGCAGCTCCCAAGATTGGCCTGCCTTTCGTCTTTCGGACATTGCTCACTCTCCTCGATGTGTATGAAACCAAAATTCAATATCCTCATGGCATGTGTACGGCCCTGATAGTGCTGTCCTTAGCACCCTAAACCCTAATTCCTCATCATACTGTCTAATACATAAACGCTATATTCCGGAAGATCTAGCCAGAAAAAAAGAGAGTCGAGAAATCAGCATGATAATGACAGCGATGTTTGGTTTCATATATTCAACTGCCAGAAGGCCTTCGAGACTCGGCGAAGGGTCCTCCGTGCCGTAAAGATGGCGCAACAGTCCGCTTGAAGGGGTTGCCCAAGAAGCCTGAAGATTACTCGCTGTTAAGAAAGGACACACCCTAGGGTTTTCCTTGTGTACCACAGGACTGCTCGTTATTGGTGATGAAATCGCATCGGCGGGTGTGTGGTCTTTTGAACTTCGTTCGCAATGAAATCGATGACCTGTGCGTCTCACGGCCGACTTTGCTGCACAGAGCCAAGCATCGATAGCATTCGATTCGTCTGCAATCTGCGTTGAGCGATATGCAGAAGGTGGAGGTGTGGATTTCTATTTTTCCATATACCTGGTGATTAATGACATCATGCCGCAAAATATGAACTACTTGGGATTTTTCTTTTCGATGGGCCCTCTGTCCGTTGGGTATAGAAATGTGCTTACCGAAGTACACAATGAACGAGCTCAAAGCTTCTTTTGGCTGCATCCATCAACAACAGCAGGGGCTTAGGTGTATAGCCTCGGGAAAGTTCAGTACCTTGATCGAATGCTCGTGGTGGTGGTACTTCGCGCTGTACGACAGCGCGTAGTTATTCCGCACTTCTTCTGAATACGACGCGCGCTCGTGTTCCATGTATAGTAGGCTGTGAACTTCTTGCCGCCTTTTCTTCCTCCGCGCGATCTCCCCCGAAAGAGCAGACGTCGCAGACTGCGCATTCGAGGCCAGTGACTGTGGCGGCGGAGGGTCTCCTTTTGGCGCATGAACGGCTTCGACCGCGGATCCAAGCTCCTGCGACGGGATTCCCGCTTGTAATGTCGGGCCGCGAGTTGGCGTTTCGGCATTCGTCTTCTCGGGAGAAGCCCCTTCACCTGCGAGCTCTGTCTTTGCACTACTCGCGTTTCTTGGGTCGGTGTCCGACACGCTCACAACGGCGGTGGAGGAGCGACTATTTTCCGAGATCCGTGTAAGGAGATACTGTTCCAAAGTCTGCGAAGAATGCGCAACGCCATCAGAATCGGCGGTCGGCAAAATACTTCCGTCGGCGACGAAAAGCCATGCAACAGCCAAAGCACCAAGGCAGAGGGTAACATATGCGACCACGAAGGCAACACTGCGTCTCCGCGGCGGATTGCCTACGCCATCTTGCATGATTTTTCTATGCCTGTTGCCCAGCAAGGGGTGCGCCTGCACTCAAGGAAATAAGGGTCTCTCTCTCAGGTTCGCTGCAATCGCGTGTGCACGATAATCCAAGCAAGACTCGCACCTGGGCGTGCATCCACATTAATTGCCGAACCTGTACGGCGTTCAGGGAGAAGACGCCCCGGTATGCAGACGATGCGGGGCCGCGCTTTCTCTGCGGCGCCCTCCGCGTGCGGGACCTGTCGACGGGACGGTGTCGGGCGAAATATCTGCCGGAATTTCAAGACGGGCGGCAAACCGTGCGTGCGCCGCGTTTGGGGACGCCCTGGTTTGGGTTGGCACGGGCGCCAGGGCAATACGCACGCGGGCTCGAAAGGAGGACCGAACCCACAGGGAAGCGCCTTTTCCTTCTCGCGAGATAGGTGGAAGGGCCAAGGCGGTCCCAAGCATGCTACATGCAGACCACTGGTTGAGACAAACACGGCCACCCTGCTGAGGCGCCCAAGCCTACGCAGGGAACCGTCGGTCCGGAATGGGACATAACGGACGCCAGGCGAGTGCCAGGCGGGAAAAGAAGGCGACTGCCTTCAGTGCCGATTGCGTTTGCGCTTCCCGATACTGCGCAACTCTTTGGCTTCTTTCAACGTTGCGAGCCGTAAAAAGCCGCAAAGAAAAAAAGAAAAGGTGCCCTCGCGCTGCCAGGGCCGCCAATAAGGCAAAGGGCGGCCACATGCGAGGCAGGCCTTTGGCCCTTTGCTCCAAGGCCGGGTGTGCGGGGGGTTTCATTTGAGATGTGCCTCCCCGCGTGCTACAAGTCGACTTCGATTAGGAGTGCGGGCAGAGGCTAAGTTACCCGCCGGAGCGGCCTACGGGAAAAGAGAGCGACGGTTTTTGCTTAGGGGTGGCGGGGCGCCCTCCGGTTTTGCGAAGAGCTTCGGCTTTTGAAGAGATGGGAGGAAAAACGGCAAGAAAGCCGCGCTTCTTTTAGGCAGTTGCAGCACGTCATCGACCGGCGAAAAGGGAACAAGCGGCCACCGCTCCACGCCCGTTTTTTTTTCCTGGTTTTCTTTGAGTTTGGGCACGAAACTCGCCAGCGCCCGGCTTCCTTCCGGGCAGAAGTAAGGCGGCGGTGGCCCGAAATTTGAGTCGAATTGCTACTACCTCCAGCGGGATTATGACAGACACTGTATACTTCTTGCACTAGTACAGTTCAGCTTTGTTCAACAGCATACAGCTCAGCTTCAACCCCAAACTTACTATCAGACAAAAAAGCCCGACTTCTCAGCAGAAAGCTATGAGAAAATCACGAGGATATTCATAATAATTTATGATCAAAAGAGCGAGAACGACGAATCAAAGAGAGGCGCAATCACATCAATGCGGGATCGGATCGGAGTCAGAAATTATCGACGTCAGAGTTCTATTCCTAGTTGCTCAGAGATGTCCCACGTCTCATCAAAAGTTTGCGATAGGATACTAAGTGAGATAGTTGTGAATGAGAGATGGCAGGAGGAAGGTAAATGAGGCGATGGCTTAGGGAACTAGACAGAGGTCGCCGACTGGAAAGAAATTCCGTCATTCATTGTCTTCCACGAGCGCGCTGTGGGTCCACGCGCTTTCTTGTTGACCGACTAACGGCCCTAAGGGTTACTACCGACCCGTCCGCCCCCGTGGGTGGTCGAAACTTCTACACTGGATTATGCGGCGCACACCCCGCGCCCATCAGCGCAGCGTGGCGCGTCGTCTCTCTGGCGGCCGTAGGCCGCCAGGGACGAGGGGGCAGAGGGTTGCCGTGCTGGGCTGTTCGCGCTGGATTATGCGGCGCAGACCACGCGCCCACCAGCGCCCAACAGCGCAGCGGGGCGCGTCGTCCCTCTGGCGGCCTACGGCCCCCAGGGACGAGGGGGCAGCGCGTGATCATCTCGCCCCCCGCCCCCCTTGTACAAGGTTAAATGTTTGCGCGACTGTGAACCCACAAAACGAGCCTGCGCCAAAGAGTGCGCCCCCGGACTGTGCCCAACCGTGTAACCTTGTACAAGGGGGGCGGGGGGCGCGGGGTACAACGGGAGGCGGGGGGATACGTCAGGCAAACTGTCGCCCGTGTAACTGAAGAGCTAAGGCATGCCCCATCGTCGGCCGCCAGCGGGACGGTGCGCCAGACGGGGCGCCTTGCCAAGCTTCTGCGGTCTTACCGAAAGGCGTTCGCGATTGAAGTTATCCCCTTGGCCCTCTTCGTGTGCGTGTGCTACATATGCCGGGCGCTCTTCTGAGAGCTACAAGCGCACAGGGTTAGCCTTTGCCTGTAAGGATGTCCCAGACTCTTAAAAAGGAGGGCGAGCCCATGCCCAACGGCGTCGCCTGTCGTCCCATTCGGTTCGTATCGGTAGCCGGAGGGATTACAGAGGAGACGGGTACGCCAAGCGAGCGGCGGAACCGATAAGAGAATGGCGGAAGCATCTGACCAGAGTGATACCCGAGGGAAGGGGATCCAGCAGCAGCCCAAAGCAGATCAAGGAGAGAAGTTTTGTGTGTGTCAAAAAGGTCTATTTCTAGTAGGGGCCGATAACCCAGAACAGCCCGAACAAGCTAAGAACTTTGACAATTTCGGTTGGATCTTCAATGCACACTGAGGGCATTACATTTGTGCACTTGAACAAGCAAAGCAGCTGTTGACCTGCTACATGATAAAAGAAAATCTTTGAACAGCCACACTAGGGCCATTGGATGGCGAGAGAAGCACGATTTTGAGCCCGTTCGGGCAGTTGAAGCCCAGAGTGGCACTTTTCACGCAAGAAGTAACTCAACAACTCGAATCCAAAAGCATGGGCGTTCTTCACGTTACGCCGGTGCTCTTCCTCCGGCACACTGCCGTTTGGGCAGTTGAAGCCCAAAGTGGCACTTTTCACACAAGAAGTAACTCAACAACTCGAATCCAAAAGCATGGGCGTTCTTCACGTTACGCCGGTGCTCTTCCTCCGGCATGCTAGGGGCAGCGTGCTCGAGGCCCGACCATGGCACCCCTGACGTTTGCACGAACCTGCACCAACTCGAAGCCGATTCAACTCGACTAAATCAACTCGACACAACTCGTTTTTTCGTTTTTCGCTACTCGATTTACGACCTCAACTCGACTACTACTCGCTTATATTCGACCCGAATCAATCTACGCGTTTATATATTTCAACTTACTCGACTCGACCCGAACTCGCACATTTTCCGGCTTATAGACCCCCTGGGGGGGGCGGTTTCAACTCGAATATCTATATTGCCGGCCTATAAATTCCTCTTTGGTGAAGAGGAAGGTCGATCACAACTCGCGTGTCCCATATGATATCCGCGCAATTGCGGTGCCCCGGGGGGACGGGGTTGGCAGCCGCGTCCTATGGCTGTGCGTTTTATCGTCTACTCGTGGTAGTGTAGTCTAGTCCTAGTACGTTCGAAGTGCTCCATCGCGTTATGGGCACACTAGAGCTGTTTCTTCTCATGGTTTTGCATACAACATGGAGACTTTTGCAAGGCAGTACTTTTGCAAGTGTTTTTTTTGAAGGCAGAGAGTCGCGCTGCCCCTTCTCCTTAAGGCGGTGGGTTTACGCGGGGCAGCACGGACGGATGGCTTGGTGGATAAGTCGTAGCTCTTATGGAAAATCGCCGACTTTATGCGAAGATGAGTACTCCTCAACTGCATGGTGAATGAGTAAGCTTTTGCTTAGTTTTCAGATCTTGCTTGCCGAACGTATCGAAAGCAGCCCGTGAATAGCATAATATAGCACTAAACTCAGTGCTTTTAGTTCTTAAACCTAAAGAAACTAGTGGTGACAAGGGGGGGGCAGTAGATATAACTTCCTGTCGCGCATCATCCTGCGCGGCGCGTCAGGATTTTAGGGGCCTAGCGTTATGCTGTCTGGCAGACGGTGAAACGGGTTTCTATCGCGCATTATCCTGCGCCGCGCCTTAGAAATTTCTCGATTTCTAGTGCTGACCGATGGGGGGGGAGTAGAAAAGGAGGTCACTTATCGTCGTAAACGCGAGCACAACTTGCAACGCAGCGCGCTCGCATATAGGTAGCTGCTTCCTGAGAGTATTAGTTTTCTGCGGGCAGCGTGCTCGAGATCCGACCACAGAGCCCGAAACGACAGAGGCGAAACCGATGAGGGAAGGGGAAAAGGAGTGAGACGGACTGGCCTCGCGATCTAGGGACCGGCGTGCCAAACTGTGAAGAAAAGTGGCAAAATATCGAAAACGGCCCAGAAGTGCCACTGTCCGCGAACGGTTTCGCTTAAGAGTTTCGCGAGCTTTGGGCGCTGGAATGGTTTCCGCGTGAATATTTGGAAATAAGATCGAAGGCCGCGCATCCATTTCGTGCCGCGCGGGAATCAAACTCAATGCGAGGCCTCGTGAGGCTCCATTTGCACCCGAAGACTCATCTTGCCCCCAATAGATTCCGCGAGGAATGGGATTGGTTGGCAATGTTCGGCCGCTGCTTTATTTCGGCCGTTTTTGTTTTTTGTTCTTTGATTTTCGAGGTCGAGCCTCTTGGTTTGCTGTTTTTAGTTACCTCCTCGGGCGGCTCCAGCGTCCGACTAAAGCCACTCGCGCGGCTTTTTTTTGATGCAATTGCCCGAGGATTTTGATTCTTTCGCATTTTATCAAAAAAAGTAGTTTTTTGCGTCAGCCGTCCACCCGTTTGCAATAATTGGACGCGGCTGACACCTTCCCCCCGCAGTATGTATTTTCCAGCCGAGCAGCCGGCTACTTTGTAAAAAATAAAGGAAAGGCTTTAGAGTGTGGAGCAGTTGGCTGGACAATTCAAAAAAGTGGACTCTTTGGCATTTTTTGACATGGGACAGCACTGGCGAAAATTCCTGGCGGTCTCATTTTCAAGCGGAAAACTTGCAAAAATGAGCAAAGAGAAAGCGTCTCTTTTCTCGTCCCCAGTGGAATAAATTCGCAGCCCAAGCACTCCCCTCCAGTAATTGACCACAAAAACGCGGAAAAAGTTTGCTTTTTCTGATCCCAATTGGAATAAATTCGCAGCCCAAGCACTCCCCTCCAGTAATTGAGCAGAAAAATGCGAAGGGGGTTCCTTTTTGTCTAGTCCCCACTGGAATAAATTCCCAGCCCAAGCACTCCCCTCCAGTAATTGAGCCGCAAACAGTGGAGGGCGTTCCTTTTTTTCTAAAACCCGCGTGAATAAATTCACAGCCCAGGCACTCCTCTCCAGTAATTGAACCAGAAAAGTGGAAAGCGTTCAGCCTTTTCCGGTCCCCACTGAAAAAGGCCCGCCGCCCAAGCCCTTCTCTCCACTCGAAACCGATACCCGCATGGACTTCGAAACTGTTAAGGAACAGCATTCGACGAATTTGAAACCGTTAAGGGACTTGCAAAACGGGCAACGAGTTGGGGAATTTTTTTGCACTCGTGGAGTGCTTTTTTCTTTCTTTAGGCCTTTCGCTTTCGTTGTTTTAGGTTTGAAAAATTTAGAAAGTATAGAACTCGCGCGCCAGTTTCTGGCAGAAAATTCATGAGAGGCGAAACCGGTAAGACAATGGAGAAGGCTGCCAGCTTTTCAGTATTTTTGAGACGGTGAAAAGCAGGGCGAACGCGTTGGGCCCGGCTACATTTTTCCAAAGCGGAAGCGCTGCCCGTGTGATTCATCCTCTTGTGGAATATTTGAGAGCATTCGAATACGTTGGGAATATTTGAAAATATTCCCAGAATATTTGGGAACATTCGCCGAATATTTGAAAGTAATTTTTTTAAGTGCGGGAGTATTTTTTCCCGAATATTTTGGCGGAAGGCAAAAAACACGCTCGGGAGTTCATGCCGTGGGGATTTCGAACTCCTCGGGAACCTCGGCGCATGCTTTTGGAGTTGCCTGCGGAGTTCCTTTCGTGCGGGCATCGAAATGAAGAGGATGCTGAAAGCGTTGCCATTTAACAAAGAAGCTAATAACTTTTATGATCTTTTTTAATGTAAACGCTCCGGACATCGTCTCCACTTCGATGCCCGCATGGAAGGAACTCGGCAGGAAACTCGAAAAGCATGCCCCGACCGTGGGCAACAGAGTGGCGCACCATCTTTACATCCCTCTTAATAGTGGGATGTAAAGATGGCGCACTGCAAAACCCTTTGTCCCCGGAGCTCTGCTCTCACAGTACCAGCCCCAGGCTTCCCCGAAGCAGCTACGCGCACAAGCTCGGCTAAGTCTTAAAACGATGCCGCACGATGTTGCAACACCGACCCAGCGTCAGAGCGAGAGCACTCGCTATCACTCATTATTACAGAGTGCCCATTTCTAAACGTCTCTCGCACGTAATA